CTTGTTTCTAAAAAACTATAAATGATTTATTTACTGTTTCATAAGAAAATCCATCTTTCCACCCTCATTGTTTACCAGTCTAGGGATAAAAAGAAGAAAAACTACTTCAATTTTCTAACCATGAATCTATCTATTCACATGCTACCTATCCAGCATATGAAGAGGTAGATAAATGGCAAGAATCATTTGTCAATTGCTTAAATTCACATCCTTAGAAACTCTAATGCTTTATTCTGCATTTATCCCATTTCTAATTTCTAATGCTGTAGGGCAGCAGTTCAGAATTGTAGCCACAGGATTCATTTAACAGCAGGGTTGCACTTAATTACATTAGCAAATGCAATTAATTAATTAGCAAATATACTACCTTTTGTAATTAAAGTAAACTTTCAAAGCTATATATAGCAAGCTTCAGAAATGAAAGACAGAAAAGATTAAAAAATGGGAATTTTTTATTTATTTTTGTTTTGTTATTCAAGCTTATCATCCCGTAAAGCACTTAACGTGTATTTCACATTTTATTTTCTAAAATTAGGCATAAATAACTCCACATGACATCACTAAAAATTCAAGATGATCGTTTTTCATCAGAAAAAAAAAAGCTAAAGCTTCTCCTAATTTTATTGCAAGAAACCCAGTATGTATACCGTACATGCTGGCTATGTACGGTATTCCGCAAATCAAACAGGGTTGAGGAATGTAGCTGTCAGGATGCAAATCAGGATGTGCTGCCAAGTACATCTGAAATCTCTCTCTCCCAAAATCAGAGAGGCTGGGCGGAAATTGAAGTCTTCCCACACTTCCCTGACTACAGCTTGTTCAGATCTTGGCCCTTGCAAGCAAGCCACATCACTGAAAAGTATTCCTTTGATCGTAATCCGTAGGAACCTCTAATTAATACTGGGAAGCTCCAAAAAGCTGAAATAGTCCAGGGCATCGAAAGAGAGGATCAACACTTTCACAAAGCCCCTTATTTCTATAGAAGGAGTAAATACAGGTAGCCAGGAATTTGTGCTGAGTTTTTCTTTTCTTTTTCTTCTGTCTTATGCCAGGTCTCAATTTCTTTATCGCTCTCTGTACAAGTTATGGAATTGGTATTTGCTACCAGCCTTCAAGATCAGGCTACTTTCAAGAAAATATAATCTTTTCTTTAGAATCTTTTTTGTGACCTGTAATATTTTATATTCTTTCAAATCTCTTCGGAAATTTGAGCTGAGAGTTTTTCATTTATAAGTGACCATCACCATCTTGTGGCTGGAACTCTAGTGCAAATGTCTTTATTACCACAATCTGGGAAGTTTTATAATTGTTTCCTTCCACACCAAATGCCTAGATTTTAATACTTAAAATCAAAAGGAGTACTGTATGTATGTAATGTATGCATGCAAGCATGCATATATGTATGTATATTTTAAACAAACAAAGTTTTGGGTTTGTTTATCCCCTGGAGCCTGATTTATATTTAAAAAGAGGGGGAACTGAATCCTTCAGTTACCAAACTTCTATGCCACATGGCCGGAAGAAGTACTATTGTCATTATTTAGATTTGGTTGTTGTTTTGTATTTTATTTTTTAAATGCAGGCAACATAAGGTAAGAGAAGTCTTTCCATGAGACCACAGATGAAATGCCCTTGGAAGATAGAAAGCAGCCATAGGAATTGCCATGCTTCTACCTTAAAACAGAAGTCAGGATCGTGATGTGAAGCTTCTACAAGAGGAGGCTGGGTACTTCCAGATTCTCTCTTGTGGACCTCAGCATTGCCATAGGATGACCAACTAGATACTTGATTACTTCTACACTTGATTGTAAAAAATATGATTTTTGTAATAGAGTTGTCAAGGTCTGGAATGCTCTACCTGATTCAATTGTTTCAGCTACAAATTTTTATAGTTGTAGTCACAAATTGACTTCCATGGACCTCACTTCTTATTTGAGAAGTTTGACAAATTTCAACAAATAAAATAAATAAATACTTCCACAAGGCCAGAAAGAAATGTATGAAGTTCTTAACAGACAGGACACACATACTCATGTGATTCTTTATGTTTAAGATAAATTGTTCTGAATGATGCATTGGTGATAAGCCAAATGCTTCCAATTGTCAGTAACAAGTGAGAATGAGTTTCTAGAGATCACACTATGGCCTAAAGGAGTCACAAATAGATAAATTGCTCTTCTTAGGCAAAGGTTTTTTCCGATTTCTGAAGCTGCAGATCATTACAGCTGAGAATAGGGATGGCATATGGCATATTATATGTATTACATGATTAAATAGAAAATATGGATGAATTTTTTATTTTGACGGGGGGGGAACCTTCATTACGATAGTTGTTCTTAACAATCTGACAAAAGTCACTTGTAACTCACTTCTAAAAATGAAGTTGCATTATGAGATCATGACGTTATCATCCTTACCCCTACCCCACCCCCCGTTGTACCATTACTATAGAATATGTCCTCTCCTAAACTAGAAAAATATATTGCTTGATAATGTCAGAGGCAGCTACCTGCAATGTCACCAAAATATCCTTCAATTTTGCTGTATTGAAGAAACATCTAGACAGGGGTGTCAAACTCAGGTGTCATGGTGGTGTCATGTGACATCTCGGAAGTTTTTCCCCCCTTCACTAAACCGGTCGGGGGTGGGGCCAGCACAGGACACATCCTTCCCACCAGCTGCGAGTTTGACACCCCTGATCTAGACTCTCGACAACTTTCAATCCCTGCTTATTTAGAGCCCTGAAAGCTCAATGTTAAACCATGATTTGCTAAAACATTTAAGGAAAAAAAAGATCTAACAAATAAATAACTTAAAATGTACCACTTTTAAATGTAAAGTACACTTTTATTATATTTTAATTTGAAAGTACTACACACTGGATTTTTATTTTATTTTTTACCATCACATACATTTTTCTAAAAAATACAAACCTCACACCCTACTCTGATAGAATTGCTTTTTAATTGTTCAGAGGAAGGGGAAGTAAAATCTTTTGCCCTAATTTGCCCTTTGGCTGACACAATACATCAATATCTTACTCTACTCCCATTCTATACCTTGAAGGAACTTAGATAAATTGCCCCTTTGCAAGACCTTGGGAAGGCAGCCCTGGAGAATACACTTTGTTTGGGCATCCCAGGCCATTCAGGGCCAGCCTCTTTCTGATGCCACAGCTGGTTTTCATGTAAATCACTGGCCTTTTCTCTCCAGATTACCTTATGGAAGGCAGATAACCATCTCATTTTATTTGGTATCACAAAAAGCCAAAGTTCCCTTTCCCCACAAATGGAGACAAACAAGAGATACCAGCTGTCTGGAAATCAAGAGGATTTTTTAAAAAAGGAGGTCATTCCCAGAATCCACGTGGCTGGCTGCCAGTTCTCTATCACCTTTTCGGAATGTGGGGAGGATATGCAGCATTTTTTTCCCCTGAACATTCGTCTTTCTCTCCCTGTAAACTCTACCCTGGTAAGCTGGCTTTTCTCAGCCTCTTACTCTCACCTTATGTGGCTTCTTTACCTTTCTTATGTCCATATAAAGTCACCTAGATTATTCTCCAGCCTTGGGGTTTGTCTTTTCCTATAAATCATGCACCCAATTTCTTTCTAACCCTTTGTACAAACATAGCACCAACATAGCATAATAATGTAATATGTTAATAATAATGTAATGCAATTAACTGCAGGCATCTCTATGCTAGAGTGTGCATAATTTATTGATATAATTATATTTGTTCACAAAGATGAAACAAACTCATTTATGCTCAACCTCAGGATTCAAGACATGAGTACACAGTAAAGAGATCTTATCCCAATGTCTGGAGGCTGTGAGGGTCTGGATGGAAACAACAGGCTTCAGCTGAATCCTGGCAAGACTAAGTGGCTCTGGATTTTGGGTCCCATTAGCTCCACGACTGGTTACATTAGCCATCTCATTAGATCTAGATCTAGACTAGGAATGCTCTGGGCATTATCAGCTAAGGACCTACGTTAGGTGGGTTCCAGGAGACATGCCTTCTCAGTCATGGCACTCACCATATGGAACATTCTTACCCCCTCCGCCAAATTAGATTACTTCCATCCTTTCTGACATTTATTTGTTTGTTTGTCTGTCAAACATGTACAAGATAACAAGTATAAGTATGAACATAAAGAAGAATTTCAGAACATAAAAAACATTCCAGAAGGTCCTCAAGACCTGGTTATGTTATCAGGTCTAGAGGCTCTACGGAACCGGAGTCATGCTTAAATGGCTCCATTATGGAGCTGGGTATTTTTATTCTCTCTTTGCCTACTGTTTGTATCTCTGATTTTATAACATTTATTGTTACAGTGATTTTTAATTTTTTTTAACTTGTGGTTCTTTATATGTGGGGTTTTTTTTCATTTATTGTAGACCATCCAGAATCACCTTCAATGAGATGGGCGGCTATGTAAATTTGTTTAATAAATAAGAGGCATTGAAATACTGTATACATCAGGGGACCCCAAACTTGGCAACCTTAAGACTGGTAGACTTCAACTCCCAGAATTCCTCAATCAGTTATGCTAAGGAATTCTGTTCCTGTTTTGCTGGCTAAGAATTCTGGGAGTTGAAGCCCACAAGTCTTAAAGTTGCCAAGTTTGGAGACCTCTGATATACATATACAAATTCCCACAATGCATTTTAACTGAGAAATAACTGCAGAAAAATAAATAAATGAAAGGGTGTACAAAAACGCACACATTATAAAGCAATCTATCTAAAAATGGGTTAGGAATTTTAAGGCAAACTTTTAAAAAATAAATTCACAAAGTGGTATTGAAGTGAGATATACCAAATTTTAAAGGTAGAAAAATAGAAAATCAGAATAAAGTTGAGCATCGGATTCCCTACAAAATTATGAGGTTTGAAATGTCTGTTCATCAGAACTATAGTCTTGAGTGGACCCAAGCAAAGGAACTCTGCTGAAACGGCTAGACAGAAGAGTCTACAGTCATATGATTGTAAATACTCACAGCTCTTTATAATTGGCGTCATACAGAGTCGACCACTTGTTCTGCTGATGTGGCTGCCATTTTATAGATTGGTAGTTCGGATCCAAGTAGGAGGAGCTATTCAAGCTGTCATTATCCTGAATCAGTCCTATAGCAATAGAAAAATTTTGAACTGAAATTTGCCTACATACTTAACAGAAACTATTTTTCCTACTTTTCTATTCTTCACTCGCTATGCAACAAAATCCATAATTTTTTATTTTCTTTGCTTTGCATTTCAATTTACAATCATAATTAGGACCAGAAATCTTGTCATTAAGCAAGGCATAATTATTGGAAGCTGACTGGGAAGGTTACAGATGGAGATCGTGTGACTGCGGGATGCTGCAACCATTGTAAATGCACAACAATTTACAATGTGCCTGATCACAATCACAGATCAGTGGGAACACTCCAACAAGGGAAAGCATGAGTGGTGGTCGTTAAGTCACATATTTCAGCACCATTGTAAGTTTGCTAAATGAATGGTCATTAGTTGAAGACTAACTGTCATCAGTTTTCTTTTTTCTTTTTACAACTGATGAGACTTTTCTCACTTCCCACTCACAATGCAATTGTACAAAGATGCTCTTCTTGAAAACACATTGCCATTTTGTGATCTTCAGCCTAGATTCTATACTTTGTTCTCCATGTACTACTTAATAAAAAAATCTACCTCTTTGGAGCATAAATAGTATCTGGGTACTGGTAATACTGGAGCGGAAAAGAAATAACTACAGTACAAACCTGGGGAGAGTGCCCCCTGCTGATGCCAGGGAGGTGTCTGAACTCTGTCAGAGTTGAGGGGCACAGATCCTGTACCTGGCTCCTGTTTTATCATCCCATTGAACATCTGGGCATTGAGAGTGTTTGATGGTGACTCCGAGTGTTTCCTCTTCTTGGCAGGGTGCACTGGAAGACTGTGGAAATCAATCATAAATTACAACAGGCATTCAAAGGAAATGTTTATTTAAATTTAGTCTATGTATGTATGTGTGTATGGTACTGTGTATTATATACACACACATAGATCTTGTATTCCATACATAAAGTTGTCTAGTAGGAAAGACTAAATTAGATTATGAGCCTTCAACTGACAGTCACACTCTGACCTACAACAGAGGAAAAGATTCCAGCCGTAAGTGTACTCCTCTGCTAACTTTCCAACCTTGTTCCCAAAGAACTTACTCTGCTCCATGTTGTTGAAGTAGCTGATGAAGCATCTGCGACTGCTGAGCGTGATGGATGTCACCAGGTGACATGCCTTGTCCTATAGTGAACTGTGGCATCAGAGGCTCAGCCTTCGAGTACATGTCCCGTTGCATGCTGGGATAATGATGGCTGTGCTGCTGCTGGTGTGAATGAGGAGGTGGTGGCGGTGGCAGTCCCTGAAGGTGGGGTGGGGGTGGAGGAGGCAGAGGGGGTGGGGGATGCTCTAACCGTGAAGGGGGAGTAACTTGACACATATTCTCAGGAGTCATAGTTCGAAGAAGGTGAGGATCTAAAAAGAACCAGAAAGATGGATTAATCTAAATGAAAAGTGTCGGTTCCCTGTTTTCAGAAGTCCTAAACTATGATCGATCATCCCATTTTGGCTCTCAGTCAGAACAGCACAAAATAATAAATACAAAATGTCAGTCCAATAATAGAGACATTCCAGGCCTTCTCCTTAGAGTTTCAGCTTTCATTAAAACAACAAGTAGTTTATCAGCTTTTTCACCAGTAGTTGGGAGCTGCATGGTAATAATGCAGCAATGTTTGTAAAGGGCAATGGTCAGATTTCAACTTTTTTCTATATTTAAAAAAACTTTAATAGGGGTATTAAGTTTAACAAATACTCACTGAAGCTATGTTTATTTTTTGCTGCATTTGATACAAAACTGTTAATTTTATGATTCTGATTCTGATTTATTGCTTGTTGCTTGTATGTACACTGACAGCTTATGTACCAGAGACTAATGCCTTGTGTGTCCAATCACACTTGGCCAATAAAGAATTCTACTTCTACTTCACTCCACTCCACTCCATTCCATCCCTTTCCATTCTATTCTAATGTTACCTGATTGCTTGTCATTGACTTTTACAGTGTGACCTTGACTAATCCCATAGCCATAAAAAATGGCTTAGGAGCTACTTATGGCCCAAGAATTGTGGGTTGCTCATACTCAGATAGATACATAGATAGATGGATGGATGGATGGGTGGGTGGGTGGGTGGGTGGGTGGATGGATGGATGGATAGGAGTATGAGCAACCCACAGTCCTTGAGCCATAAGCAGCTCTTAAGCCATTTTTTTGTGGCTGTGGTCAAGGTCACACTTTCACACTGCTGAAAATTAATGACAAGCTATCAGGTAACACAGACAGACAGATAGCACGTACATGTATGCAACTAGTAAAATAGGTACGAATAACATTAGTTAATGAGAAAATTTAGTTTTCTATCAAATGAATTAGAATTTTAGGAAATAGCTAGTCTGAATATGTGCATGCATGCAAGTTTGTATCCATGCACATCTGTGTCTATGTGCGTCTGAATGTTATACAAAATGTATTAACAATTATAGCATTTAAATAAATGTAAATATATGTAGTCTAGAATAAATGAACTAAAAATGAATAAGAACAAATATAAAAAATAAAGATTTTAGCAAGTTCAAATCCAGCAAAAACACTATCAGGCAACAGGTAAATTCATACTGGAACAAACTAAGGAATTTGAGACTGCAGAGAGCCAAACAGAGAAATGTGTTATATGATTGTTCTGATAGATTATCCTTCTGCATGATGGAAAAAAGCTAGAGCTACTTATGTTTGTATATCATAGGAAATATTGACATTTGCTTATTTAATACTCTGACTTTGTTCTGACTTTGTTTATAGAAATAAAGTTATATAAAATAGGGAGCAAACTACATTTTTTAACTTTATAGTCTCCTACTAATACTCTCTCCAGAAATATATATTAACTATCAGCATCTTTGTAATTATTCTCCATTCAGATTCTAGTTTATTACTGACTATATGCCTCTTCCCATCCACTTTTACTGTTTATTCTCCCCATTCAAAGCTGCATCTATCATATGACTTCCTTCTTTTCAGTTCTGCCCTAGGAACTTTTTTTTACCACATCAACATGATTCTATTTACTTCTCATTCCAATGCCACGAATGAGATAAGCTGAGGTCATTTTTAACTGTATTGAAGTTGAAGTAATGTTTTCCACCTTATTCTGACATTATCTAGTGAACGAAAGTTAAATTACTGGCAGTGATTAAGAACTGAGACAGAATAGGAATTAAGGAGGGAACAGCAAATTTAATGTTAATGGTTTTTTGTAACTCAAACTTGGGTGGCTAATTCTATAACTAAGACAATAGTGAATCTGAAAAAGCATGAAATGTTGGATAAAAATACACAAGGATCTAGGCAAAGGGACAGTATTTGAAATAGAAAATTCTAGAAAATGGAATTAATAACCAATCTTTCAGCTTTACCATGTTTGAAATAATAAACAAGTTCGCAAAATGAGCTTGATGGATCCTGTTCAAGGTTTAACTTCAAAGTAGTTCATACAGGAACCATTTTACTCATTTGAGCAAATCATCATGTCTCCAGACCTAAACCCTATTGAGCATCTGTGGGGCATCCTGAAATGGAAGGTGGAGGTTCACAAGGTCTTTAAAATCCACCAGCTCTGTGAGGTTGTCACGGAGGAGTGGAAGAGTACTCTAGTGACAACCTGTGAAGCTCTGGTGAATTCTATGCCCAAGAAGGTTAAGGCGGTGCTGGAAAATAATGGTGGCCACACAAAATATAGACACTTTGGGCCCAATTTGGACATCATCACTTAGGGGTGTACTCACTCTTGTTGCCAGCAGTTTAGACAATAATTATTGTATGTTGCGTTATTTTGAGGGAACAGTACATTTACACTGTTATACAAGCTGTATACCCACTGCTTTACATTGTAGCCAAGTGTCATTTTTCAGTGTTGTCAAATGAAAAGATATTCTTAAATATTTACAAAATGTGAGTGGGTGTACTCACTTCTGTGATATACTGTATATTATATGGGGGTTGTTTATGCTATGAAATGTGTATATATGTATGCCTGTGTGTATACATAAATACAAATAAAGTGGACTTCATGCACATTTTATTAAACCACTTTTGTAAGGCAGGCTATAACAAAACAAACATATGAAATAGTGTCCTAGAACCAAAGTTTTTATTTAGCAGTGCTGTGAAAATAAATTGGGTAGCTAAACTATTCCATTACATGTTTTAGCTCATATAACTGGGATAACTGGGAATGTCTCATTGTTTTGTACTAATCAATAGAACAATGATCAGTGCAAAGTATTAAGACACTCAATTCATCCAATAGGTATTCTTTTGTCCTCATTTCATGCCATCATTATTCTCTGACTTCAACTTCCCAATATCCAAAGTTTCCTCCAAAAAATCCACCCACACAAAACAAATAACAAAGAGAATTCAGAAAATGAATATTCTGTTCAAACAAATTCAGACTTAGAGCCCTTCCAACATTTTAAAGTTACTGGAGTGAAATAGTTAATGCTCAGGGCAATTAATCAGATTCTTTTGTAGGAGATGCATTAACAGAGGAAGCAAAAATGATTATGAAATTAGGGAGGGGCAAGGATTAAAAAGAAGAAGACTACATAAAACATAATAAAAATTAGCATTAGCACTCCCCCATTTTCTTTCTTAAAAAAATATCACAAAAGCTTATTGTGAACTTGGGTACAAATTAAAATATGTTTATTACTAAGCTAAAGTTATAATAAAGGTTGACGTTAGAAATGACATTAAATGACAAAGGATGGTGAAATCCCATCTCACAACCCCCACTACCCACAAACACCCAAGTACCACCAGAACTTTTAGGAATGACAATGGCTGGCAGCTGTTTCAGAACAGACAAAAAAAAAATTCAGCAAAGACTATTTTTTCACTACTTCAAGCTAAGGTGTGGTCACAGAACTGTACTCTAGATAATACTGAAATCTTACTACAATTTCAATTTTCAAACAATTTTAGGCTTTGTAATACACTAGGTAGGCACCCATAGAAGTAACAGTAAATCCAAATGTTTTGTTGTTTGAGAATTGAATGGAATAACCATTACTGTAGAATATTGAGGCAACATATATGTTCTTGAAGGTTCGTCTTTCACATCTCAAGGTTACCAGGCATGTGAATGCCTCTCTCAAAGTAAGAGAAGAATCCTAGAAATTATGAGATCACAAATGCAACTCTTTATACATACTCCAGGGCTTCCCGGGAGTTTATGCATTACACAAAAATATCAGAAGTTCCAATTATTCCTCCCTTCCCTCTGCCCACCCCAGGATGATGAGGTAGGTGCTGTTGTTTTAATGGTGAGAGAAAGCAGTTCACTCTGTGGCAAATACTCTGGCCTCTTGGCTATATTTAAAAAAAAGGGCCAGGAGGAATTCCAGGGATTTTTGTAGTGAGATAAAAAGAACTCTTGACCTTTTTCACAGAGAAAGGAGAAGGAGCTGCTTCCATAATGAACAGGGCTTAAATTTTAAAGGCAGGGGCCATGGGGAAACTTCTGAACTTTGCCACAGGCAGGACTGTGCCCTTAATTCTTTCACCCTGGTTGCTAATTCTGTTGTCTCAACCTCAGAAAAAGGCAACCAAAGTAGCTAGTGAGACATAATTCTTCACTTTCCACATCTATAAAGCATGGGCAGCACAGAACAGCCACCATCTGGTTAAGGGGGCGTGGGGAGAGAGAAAGAGGGAGAGAGGGAGGAAGACCCACCCTCCGTGATGCACCTACGACTTTGGTGCCTGTCACAAGAATGGGAAGAGAGTCCTTGACATCAAATACAGCATACAAAGAGAGGGCAGGAGCCACAGGGTATATACTCACCACCTAAAAACAAGCTCATGACAATACCTCTGTTTTGTTCTTCATTTCCAGCGCGGATTTGCCTTTATATAAACCTGCAGAAGTCTTAACAGCATGTTCACCCAACAAAACGAGGCTTAATTTTGCTCCGTGTCCTCACAAGGCAGGTCACCCTTATCCATTTCTCCTTCTCTCTGGGAAGGCAGAAGTACACCTTTCCCTTCTCACACGGTCTTGTGTTCTTGGTCCTGCCCCCCCCCCCCCCCCCCCCTTTCTAAAAAGTTAGTGGGAAAACAATAGGCGAAAGTCTAAGAATATTTACTAACTGATAATCTCTTCACGTATTGCAGCAGTCTGTTTTTCCCTTTTCTGATAAAGATTTCAGAGCCAACCACTTCTGCCAACCAAAGAGGGGAGGAAGGCTGGGGCTCTAATCTTAGCACTTACCATTCACCTGCTGAGGGGAGTAAGCTTCGGATCCGGAGTCTGGGGGAGAGTCGGGTAAAGTGCTGAAGAGCAATTGAGAAAAAGAGAGGAAAAGGTCAAACAAATGTCTAGCAGAAGTGATAAGGTAAAATAGATTCTGAATCCTAGGTAGATGGTCTGACAGAGCATACAGCCCTATTATCTACACCACCCTTGGTTAGTAGAAATTAATTATGAATTTGTCATCAAGGTTCTTGAATACAAATGCTTCTGAACCTGAACTCAATCTTATCTTCAATATAGCAGATCATCCAGTAACAATTCCCTTCTACCAAAAGCCCTTAATTGCCAATAGCTGTTCCTGCCCAGAGTAGCAAGAAACCTTCCATTCTTAACACTCCAACCAATTTACCACAGCCCTTCCCCAATGAAAGAGATTGGTTTTTTTTAGTAGGTATTCTCTCACTCCCTTACTATTCCTATCAGGAGCATTTTTATGTATTATTATTAGACATTTCATGTCATGGCTTTTGTTTATCTGCTAAAGAGACCCACCCTACTTCACTCAGCATGTCTGAAAGAAGCCAGACAGAATCTGTTGCTCAAGAAGATCACCACCATCTTCACCACAAATACAGAGAAGGACCCACTGACAATGTTTCTGTAAATCTGTGGGTCAAATGGTAGTTTCATCAAGTAGCCCTGAGATCACACAGAAAGCAATTTCAAGCAAAACTAACTCAAAAATAACAAAGAATATGAATTAGATAAAAGAATCGTCCAAAGATTCCTCAGGATCAAGCAACTAATTCCACTTATTTCACTGCCCCTTTATTTCTTAATTCAGTGAAACCAGGCAAAACTTCTACTCCTGATAGTTATTCTATAGACAGGTGTAGGGATTTAATTGACTTTCTCAATTATATGGAGCTGAAAGTTTACATGTTGCCTTTTTATACAAAGTCCTTTCTTTTAACTAAGCTTTCATAACTGTAAGTCTGAAGGTGGATAGATTTGTAGAGTATACAGATTATAAGATTCTCAACTTATGACTGTTCATTTAACAACAGTTCAAAGTTGCAATGGCCTTGGAATAAGTGACATGACCTGTACTCAGACTTATGTCCATTGCACCACCCCTTCTATCATGCGAGTGCAAGTCTTCATTGGCAACTGGCGGTTGCAGCATCCTGCAGACATGCGATTGTGATTTGCAAACTTTTGGTTGCCCATTGGGGAAGTTGCATTCATTTAATGACTGCATGATTCACTTAACTATTGTGGTGAATTGCTTAATAACCACTGTAAAAGTTGTTGTAAAATTGGGTGCAACTCAACTTGTAACTGCAATGACTTGCAGTGGAAATTCTGGTCCCAACTTTGGTAAGTAAGTTAAGGATTACCTGTGCCACTCAATTTTTTAAAAAACATAGGTGGTAAAATATTTACCACAATTTTCCATAAGCACTTCAAATTGTACTAACTTCTGTAGTTCATCCTGAGAAATTTGATTTTAGAAAATGAAAAATTAGATTATTAGTGGATATATTTGGTACACAAACATAAATTGGATAAGGCTATGTTTACTTTGTTGGAAATGAGAAAAAAAGCCTTCGATATTATGCAATTAAAATTTCTGAAACATGTTTTTCTCAGATATGGTTTTCCTTCCAATTTAATTGATTGCATTAAAATGTAGCCCAACCTATTGTTCTTATTGCTCTAATCAGTTCTTCACTATTAGCATATCCAGGTAGTTCGTTTTCTTCCCTTTTACTGAATTTGCTTTTGGAATCTTTCATCTTATATATTAGGCAACCTAAGTATACTTTGGGTATCAAGACAGCCACAGTAAAGTTTAAATTGTTGTCATATGTCAATGCTATTCTATGTCTTCCTGATAATTACTAAAACTCTTTATCAAAATTAAGCATATTGTACAATACTATGGTAAATTATCAAGTTATTCTTATAATGAAAAAAATGTATAACGTATTTCCTATTATATCTAGATCTCTATGGATGTTTGTAAAAATTCACCTTGTTTAACTCATTTCAGTACTTCAGAATAGTTATTTGTAGAACAGTTTCCTCACTGACAGAGGTTAATATTCTTAATTGTGTCAAGACTCTGACATGCACCGACTCTGACAAATTGTCTTTCTCAAATTAATATTGCTATAAATAAATGATTAAAAATCTACATCAGATTTTAGGAAAGAATAAATATATAAGTTGAACGTGAAGCATTAGCAGCATTCCAAACCACTAAATATTAATATTGTAGAAAAAGGTTTATAGATTATCAATTTTATAGACAAAACAGAAAATATTAGAAAACATTTGGAAACTTGCAAATAACTTGGAAAAAATGTTTTAGTAAGCCAACTGACTAGAGTTTTAAAGAGTGTTTCATTAGCATTCTACGAGCTTAAGGTAAAATTAATATAAAAAAGGATTATTTGAGGGGGGGGGTTACAGGCTTTACCTGTGGATATATAGTATGGATTGGCTTTCAATTTCTCTGTTAGAAATGTAATATTTTCAAGGAGATTTGTATGTTTTGGATTTGTTCTGTGGTGGCAACGTTCATAATGTTGTTAACAGGGTGAGAAAAAAGAACTAAGAGATAAAAGTGTGAATGTAATATTATACTTTGAAATTTAGGAAATATGAAGAATTGATTTACCATAAGTGGAATATAGCTAAACAGGTGAAAAAACATTAAATTTGATCTAAAAATTTGAATGGAAGACATGCATTCATTCACTTTCTACCTATAAAGTGGCATTTTACTAGTATTTTGTAAAGTCCAATCAATGGTATAGGTTTGTGGTATAGGTTTAAACTATTTATTTTTTTTAAAATTTCATCATTATTTTTCTTTCTGGTTCATTTTACCTGAGTCTTTCCTCCCATCTTCTTTTAATTTTGTCTATTTTTTTGGTATATTAAATACTACAATACAACATTTAAAATGATGAACAGTCTACACATAAGCACCCAACTCATATAAAATAGACTCAAGAAAGATGCCAAGTTTTATAGTTTCTGTTAAATTGTTAAGTATTTACAAAAATGTAATTTTACTAATATATTTGTATTACCTCAGTCTGCAAGGAACATTACAGACTAATAAACAGAGTAGGAAATGATTTAAATTCTTTTGGATTTACTTCAAAGTGCAAAATATTTTCAATAAATGTCATTTTTAAAATTGAAAATGGATTCTTCAAAATTAACAGCTAGTTTTTGGTGCATTTCAAAACAAACCTATCTGTTCTATAAGGCAGCCTTGCAAGTTTCTAACAGGTCAGTGAGGTCAGTCCCAGCTTAAAAGTCTGATTCAATATATACCTTCCAGCAGCTGATAACAACTGCTATCAATACTGAATGGCAAAGTCAAGTACACAGAAATAAGCCAGTTTAAAGTGAGTACAGAAGAAAATATAGTAAAACCCAAGTAGAAAATGAGTTAATAGAGAGTCAGTTCAGGACAGTGGTGGGATTCAATTTTTTTTACTACCGGTTCTGTGGGTATGGTTTTGTGGGCGTGTAAAATCTGCAGTCAGAGGTAGTATTTGCTAGTTCTCCGAACTACTCAAAATTTCTGCTACTGGTTCTCCAGAATTGGTCAGAACCTGCTGAATACCACCTCTGGTTCAGGACAACTCTGAATTTCTCACCTGGGTGGGATAATCACAGTAATTGTCTGAAGAGTAGCTTACTAGTTACAGTTATGCCATAAACTTTTAGAACAGTACTAATATCTAATCATTAGTTGAAAATTCTGGCTAGACTACTATGTGACTTTTGTATTTGTTTTCTTCTGTACCAGAATTTGTTTTCTTAAATTATTATAGGTCATCTTTCAAAACCTAAAGCTGCCTCATAAAACTATATGGAATACAGTTTTGATTCCTTTTACCACTCATTGTATTCTATTTATCTAAAGAAAGTTCACAGATTTTTCACAATTACATTCAGACTATTAAAATACCCAGAACAATCAAGTCCCTAGCCATAGTTCATTTAAACATTTAAAGTTAATGGACCTAACAATTTGCATAAAAGCTCACTGTCTTTACTTTTTGTGATGACAGAGATATAGTGAAAACGCTAGTTTTCATAAAGCAGATAAGGTTTTGAAATTAAGAAAACTTGAATATGAAAATAAAAGTGGAGAAGGATATGTTACTTCAGAATTATTAGTTCCTATTTCTTGTATTTAAACTTATGTTTATTCTTGTTTCTGTTGTATTGTAAGCTTTTGACAAATAAATAAAAATAAGAATGGTTTACAGCACCAAACATATTTTAGTTTAGTCTAATAAAAGAATTAGAAAGCTTGTTGAAGACAGTGAAACAATTAACATGCAAACTGAAATATATTTTAATTTGAAATAGAAGAATGTGAGGTTTTAGGCACAGACTTAAAAATGATGATAGACAGCACAGGGGAAATTTTTTTCTGTCCTCAAGACACCAACCAAAATTATTCTTCTGAATAATGATTTATCAGTATGTTACTTGCCCCCAATAAAGTCTGCCTACTTTGCTGTTGTTTTTGTACAGGTGGGTATACTTTCAAACAAAAGTTTGGTCTACAGCTACCTATCAGTTTTTATTTTTTCTTAAGGCCCATAGAGTTGAACTCACCATTCTTCTAAGCAGTGGTGGGATTCTAATTTTTTTCCTACCGGTTCTTTGGGCATGGTTGGTGGCGATGGCAGGGGAAGGATACTGTAAAAACTCCACTGAGAAGTGGTAATTGCCGGTTCTCTAAACTACTCAAAAGTTCTGCTACCGGTTCTCCAGAACTGGTCAGAACCTGCTGAATATCACCTCTGCTTCCAAGGCACCAAATTAAACAGGGTACCAGATCTCAAGGAAAAAAACAAATCAAAACTGCCCTTTGAGATTTGTGAATGGTGGCAGCAACTGCAAGGTTTGCCTAGCAGCTATCTAGGGCTGCCATTGAGTATGGACTCCTGTAAGGTCTAAAGCTATTCATATGGGGAGAGGGGGAAGATGACACAGAAGGCTATGTTTTGCTTTGTAGTTATATGCTTACATCACACTTTTTAAAAAATTAAGTAACATTTTAAAGGGTAATCAGTCAAGACAAATAACCTGGCAAGTGGGTGTTCTTATGGGTATCCCAGATCTATGCTGTTCTTTTGGTTTCATTTCTCTCTATATGACCTTTATTGGCCAGATACACGATCTGGGATTTCAAGATTTGAAAAGTTAGTTAGTTACTTACTTACTTACTTACTTATTTACTTTATTTATTTATTTATTTGCAATATAACAGAAACAAGAATAAACATAAGTTTAAATACAAGAAATAGGAACTAATAATTGGGGACAATAGGACAGGGACGGTAGGCACAATTGTGCGCTTATGCACTCCCCTTACAGACCTCTTAGGAATGGGGTGAGGTCAATAGAGGTTAGTTTGAGAGTAAAGGAGTGGGGGTTTGAGCAGGTGACAACAGAATCGGGTAGTGAGTTCCAGACATTACTTGGGGTAATGTCTTTACATTACTTGGGGTAATTACATTACATTACTATTTGGGGTAGCCCTAATCTTATCTAAATATATTTTGAAAATCAAGACAAAACATTTCAATCTGTCAGTCATTTAGGTGACTGAAAAGAACACTCTTTTTTTGATGATTGTTATCTCTGAGCAATTAAAAATTGTCAAAATCTCATGAGATTTCAACATTTTTTTAAAAAAAATTGGGGTGCGTGAGTGCCATCTAGTGGTATTACATCTGTCATAATGCCTGCCTGTCATAATGCATGAGAAATCCCAGGTGTGAACTATGAAGTAAAGGTACACACTAGAATAAATTCCTTATAGGTGATAAACACAGTTCCTCTTATTTGATGGGAAAAATTGTAAATACAAAAGAACCATGATTTAGTCTTGTCAGTCTAAGATAAGAAAGGTCTAATGGTGCATTTTGGTATAAGATGTCTTCAGGACACACATCCAAATATAGTGTTATCTCAGGTTAGCAAGTGAAGTCCAGATCTATCTACTTTCTCAGGCCCATCTTCCAGTTTTTAACTCTTCTGTAGGAATGAACTCAAGCCTATCTAATCTCATCTGCTCCAATCTCATCAATTGCATGCTTTAAATTTTGTAACTCATCCTTCTTTAGCAGATTAGAATATCCATAAATGTTTTGTGGAATTATTCTGTCAACAGCTAGGAAGCATTGCTAAGCCAATATTTAGCTGACTTTATAAGCATAATGGTTTCCATAAGAAATCTGAATTATTGGTCATTTTTGTTTCACAATTATTTTTTTCTGGGAAATTTCTTTATAATATTTTTTCCTACCTATCTTATACAGCCTTTTGATTTTCTATTTTGGCATTATTTTCACATACCCCTACCAAATTGCAATGAATGTCCCAACTGTCTTTATACTCTCTCTGGCAGAAGTCAGCAAATATATAATTCCTTTAAATCTTTTCATATTCAGATAACAGATAACAGATAACAGATAATCAAAGTTGGAAAGGACCTTATAGGTCATCTAGTCCAACCCCCCACCCAAGCGGGAGACCCTACACCATTTCTGACAAATGGCAGTCCTATCTCTTCTTGAAGTCTCAACTTCTGAGGGCAAGCTGCTCCATTCTCTTTTCCACTGAAACAACATACCACATCTCTGTTCAAAAAAATGAAATTTGACCTGGATTCCACATATTAGTCAAAAGGGTTTATAATGTAAACCCACAGATGATCTAGTTCAGTTACCTAAAACTGAGTCACACTTTTTTTCCTAGTCTCCCTGTGAAATTCCCTCATGTTATGTTTGAAGACTAAGATGACATTGGTTGGCAAGAGACATTACAGATTTGTTCAAATTGTTTTAAGTCTTTAACCACTTTATTTATCAATCTAAGGCTCTTGAAACTTATATTTGCATAGCCACAATCCGTTACTTACCCGGATGTGTAGGAGGCTTCCGATTTGATTGGAGGGGGAAGGTTGGACAGGCAGTGGCCACTGAGAAACCCTTTGGGTACTACCATGCCATTGTTGTTATTGCAGTTGAGATGAGCACTGTAACTGGACCCACATGGATTTGGCAAGGGGGGACCATGCCGTATTGGAACTTGACTGCTTGAAGGGCCAGGATGGAGACCATGACGGACTGGAACTTGGGTGCTTGGGGGACCATGATGGAAGTTACCACTGGGTACAGGAGTAATTACATGACCAACACTGGAGACAGATGCATTGACAAGGGCAGAGTTGGCAGGCTGAGTATGAGGATAACTGGCTGATGCGGGAATGTCAGAGATGGAATCTAAATCAGAACTGAAAGAGAAAAGTTGAACCATTTGTATAATATGTGCATCTTGCCACTCTGACACAATATAAAGACTATATCTATTTTTCATCATATACATTATTGGATTCAGCCATAATGTCAACCCAGGATTTTTAACCATGGTTTTTCTTTTTTGAACAAGTATATTGGCTTGATCTGCACATTTAACTAACTCTCAGTGGATAGGTCCAAACATAAAGGAAAGCCAAAAGCAAAATATGCCATATTCCATATTTAGGAAAATATGTGAAAGTGCTGAAAATAATGGAAGCAAAGATTAAAAAAATATTAGCTCACATCACCATAACCTCAAATGCAATCCTCTTTTCACTCTTACATCAAACAACATCATGGAGCATTAAGAATAAAAGTGAAAAAGGGCCCTTACATATCTTGTGAGTCCTCTTTACCGATGTATTCTTCCAGGATGCTGGTGTCAATGTTTGATGCTTCAAGAGCTCCATTAATATCATGACCTGAAGGAAAGACCAGATATCAGATAAAATAGCAAAAAAAAAAAAAAAAAACCCCAGACAAGATCGATAATTTTTTATAAGGAAAGACAGAATTCTGATAATTCCCCATAACAAAACTTCTGATTTAAATAACAAAATTTACTTTAAAATGTTAATTGAAGTGGAAATCCAACCCAGATGATAAAAACTGAGTATTTATTACTCTAGAATAATCAGCTGATTTCATTCACAAAGCTTCATGCATCTAGAATAAAATATGCATCCATATTTGAACCAGTATGTATATAACATATATAGTGGTAAGGATGAAAAAAAGAGCTAGAACTGACACTCTAAATCGCGTGGTTTGAATACAAAATGTGTTGCAAATGTTGATGAAGATTCTCAGTCATCCAGGCAGAGATGTCTGAAGGTTGTCTGAAATTCTCTGAAGGATGTAATCTTTGTAATTTCACTGCTCATCCAGGCAGCTCCCTCAGTCAGTGCAAGGCAGGTAGGCAATGGATTATTTCCTAAAATGATTCAATGATTCAACTTTCTGACATCTCTGCCTGGATGATTGAGAATCTTCATCGTCAAATCATGTGGTTTGTTTCTACAAAAAGCTACAAATTATTAAGATGATTTATTCCAGAGGTGGTATTAGGAATAATAGTCACCTAACAGTTGGGTTGGCAATATATAAATCAGGATAGTTATTTAATACTGATGTAACTTTAAGAGAATGCTTTAATTGTGATTGGTTGAGGTTCCTCTGACGGCCATAAGATGGAGCCAGAAACTTGGTTTGTTCTCTTCTTGCATTTCCCTATTGCCTTTTGCCTGATCATCGTTCTGCTTGGATTGCTGAGAGTCTTGCAAACTGTTAGCAAACTCCGTTTACGGAACTTTGTTTATGATACTCGACTTCGTTTTTGGATTATCCCTGGACTGATTGTATTGAATACTACCTGCTTTAACCGTGTATGATTTGGACTGTTTGTTGGACTTTGTTTACCCATTTACTGGAAGTAAAACCTACATTTTACTATTCAGTGTCTCTGTATGCTGGTTGTGTGTTATTCCTCACCACTCTCACTATGTTTCCCTGAGTGCACTCATTCGCCTAACAGGGAATACCTCAACACTGGTTATGGGCCCAGACTCAGATAACTGAGAGTTAGTGTGAATACATAGTACCGTATACAAACAGCTGTTTACTTTTTAATTGTGGGTTACTGTCCTGGTAAAGATGGCACAAGACCCGTCAACAAGTCTATCACTGATAACCCAGTTGGATGGAACAAACTATGTTTCCTGGTCTATGAAGTGCAGTCTACTTCTGTGTAGGGAAGGGTTATGGGCTGCAGTTCAGGATCCACCGGATGTAAATTCTTGGGATCCACATAATGAGGACGATGCCCCAAAGTTAACTGACTTTAAATGGAACAACGAACAAGCTCTTTGTATAATTGGACTAACACTGAGTGAGCAGCAGCTAATCCATATTCGTGGAGAAGAGTCTGCTGTGTTGGGAGAATTTGAAGAGCTTTTATGTTCATGACAGTGTAGGTGCACACATACATCTTACACGTCAATTGTTTAGAGCATGTCTTCTGAAAGGTGGAGATATGTTAGCTCATTTGAACTTCATGAAAAGAACTTTTCAAGAGCTACATGAAAAGGAACTGATTTTTTCAGAGCTACATCAGGTTTACATCATTCTTTCCTCATTGGATGAAAGTTATGATGATTACATATCTTCACTGGAAGTCCTGATCAGAAATGAACTGACATTGACTGACATAACTGGACGATTGTTAAAAGAGGCAAGAAGAAGGCTAGATAGAGACCAACTGAGAGAGAAACAACTATAAGAAGAGGATTTGTTTTCAACTGCTTATACTGTTAGGAAATGTTATTCTTGTGGGGCTAGGGGACATATAGCTAGATTCTGTAAGAAGGGCAAACGACAGAATACTGGTAATCACCAGAAGGCTAAGAAGAATGTTAATTTAGCTATGTCTAGCTATTCAACTGTAAACCATGATTTGTGGGTAATTGATAGTGGAGTATCGCAGTGCATTACTAGAAATAGAGAGAAATTTGTAAAGATGTCCACAAGTAAGCAACATGTATCATTGGCAAATGGATGGAAGATGAAAGCATCTTGTGAAGGTACTGCATATTGTTCATATGTAAATGAGCATTTATCTATGTTATATGTACTTAAACTGAAATTTAATTTGTTATCAGTAAGGGCTTTAGTTAATATTGGTTATGTAGTAACCTTTAGGGGAGATAACTGTATAATAGAGAAAGAGGGCAAAAGTGTTACTGCAACTTTAGAGAATGATTTATATGTGATACATGATGACCAGTTGCAGATGGCTAACTTGGTTTATAACAATGTTAAGCCACATGATGAATGTATACATTTACTGCATAGATATCTAGGGCACATTAATTTCAAAATGCTGAAACAAACTGTTGAATTGTCAGAGGGAGTAAAATTAAAACCCTGTAGGAAGTACTTAAACTGTAATGCCTGTAATCAGGAGAAAAGCAAGGTTACTCCAGCAAACAGACTGAATGGGTTTATGACCAAAGAACCTTTAGAGATTGTTTTTGCTGACATAATTGGTCCGAAGAAACCTAGTTTGGGAAGTGCCTGCTATGTTTTGAGTATAATGGACCATTACTCACGGTATGGTTTCTTCTATCTAATGAAAAACAAAACAGAAACATTCCAACATTTCTTTAATTGGCTAAGATTTGCAGAAAGGAAAATTGGCAGAAAGGAAAATGAGACATAAGGTAATTACTTTAGTTAGAGATAATGGGACTGAGTTTATTAATAATGGATTCCAAACAATGTTGAAATTGGCCGGTATCGAGCATAAGCGTTCTGTACCTTACAGGCCACAACATAATTCGTTTATAGAACGAAGAGGGCAAACGTTACAAGCTTGCACTATGTTATCTGATTCAGGTTTGCCTGAAACACTGTGGGGTGAAGCCATAATGTGTAGCAACCATGTGCTAAACAATGCGGTGAACACAACAACTGGTGAATTGCCATTCACTCGTTGGCATGGCAGAAAACCAAATTTAAGTTATCTACACACATTTGGAGCTCCAGCATGGGTGCATATTCCCTCACAAGTAAGACTGAAAGGGCAACATAGAGCTAGGAAATTATTTTTCGTAGGTTACGAGGCCAACCATAGATTGTTTAGATTTTGGGATCCAGGCACAGCTAATATTTACTGTAGCGCTAGTGCTAAATTTCTTGAGCACATTGGGTGGAATAAACTAGAACAGGAATCCAACAATGATGTTGTTATTGACACGCAAGTAGTCCCTAATGATGAGATAGTTAAACCATCAATAGTCATTAAAGAGGAAAAACAGGCACAGGAGGAGGTAGAAGAACAGGAGCAGGTGGAACACTCTCACTATGTTTCCCTGAGTGCACTCATTCTCCTAACGGGGAATACCTCAACTGGTGGTATTCAGCAGGTTCTGACCAGTTCTGGAGAACCAGTAGCGGAAATTTTGAGTAGTTCAGAGAACCAGCAAATCCCACCTCTGACTGGCTCCGCCCCCATCTATTCTCTGCCTCCCAAATCCCAGCTGATCAGCTGGGTCTTTTTTTGTTGCCCTGCACAGGAGAATGGAGCTGGAAAGCAGGTTAGTGAGTAGGGCGGGAAATGGGAGATTTTTCAGTATCCTTCCCCTGCCATGCCCACAAGCTATGCCCGACCAAGCCACACCACACCCACCAAGCCACACCCACAGAACCAGTAGTAAAACTTTTTTGAATCCTACCACTGATTTATTCGCCATATTGAGCTCAAAACAATATTCTGTCAACTGACAATCATAACAGGAAACACTGCATTTTCTTAAGAGAAATAATTAATTCCAGTCTATTACTCTGAGCTAACCAAAATCCATGGCTGCTCTACTACTTTTTATGCTCCTGTCATAGTTCTAAATAAAGTTGTCTACCTTTTCATATACTAAAGGCTGATTGGCTGGCTGGCTGGTTGGCTTGCAGGCTTCATATGACCTTCATCCCTTCAATACCAATGAAATCCCCCTATCAAGATTTGGTATCCCAATAACAGGAACACCATTTTCTGTATTGCCCCTATAGCATGAGAACTGGGGTGAATGGAGGGAGCTTAAAATAAGAAGTAAAACCATGCTTTAAGTTCCATTGGCTTTAAGCCAGTGCTTCTTAAAGTGTGGTTTGCCCCAAGAGATCTACA